CTAACAGAAATTATACAAATGTCAGTGCATATTTCTCTGGAATGTAATCTAGTACTACAGGCAAACTTTATTGAATTAATTGAAGATGTTGACACAGTTACAGAGCAAGATCTACTCTCCACAATTCTTTACGATATTTTAAATAATTTGCCATTAATTCGACCAAATGTTACATTGGTTGCCACAGCTAATCGTTTCGAAAATAATGAATTATCTCCAGATATCAAGCAGTCCGAAAATGTGACAAAAGACGAAGATTTCCTAATGATTATTGTTTTCAAACTTTTAACAAAAACCAAAAGTGAATTAATCGATACATTAATGTCTACATTAAAGGAAGGTAGCTTTGTGCTGTCAAGAGAAATTCTCACTGAGTCCTACAACTATACATTATTACAACAATATAATTTGAATATAGTTTTAGAAAAACGTACAGAGAAAGAGGCATTTGTGCTTTTAAGAAAAACACAAAGCATCGTACCGCAAGAAATTATATATATAAATAATTCTGACTTTTCGTGGATTAACAAGTTGAAGTCTGCATTAAACATGGATAACAAATTAAACGCATCCAGAAGAACAATATTAGTTGCGGACGATTTTGAATGTGGCATATTAGGTTTTATCAATTGTTTACGAAAGGAGTTCAACAAAACAAGGGACAAGATTAGATGTGTATTTATCCAAGACAAAAATGCGCCAAAATTTTCTTTACAAGACTCTGTCTACATAAACCAACTACAATTGGACTTGCCTGTTAATATTTTACGTCCGAACAAAGTTTGGGGATCGTATAGACATCTTCCGTTACCACAACTAGAACCAAAATTTGTACATCATGGTTATGTCGTTCAAAGTGTATGTTAATAACATAAATTTTCTAAANTAATTTATGATGTTTTACTATTGTGTATTTTTTGTTACAACAGTATATTAATATTTGTTGTAGGTGCGAGGTGATTTGAGCAAGTTGCGTTGGATTAAAGGTCCGATATCTTCTGATTACAAACAAGAAAATCTCGTACGTGTAGTATACGCATCACTCAATTTTAAGGATATTGTGATAGCTACTGGTAGAATTTCTATGGATGCTTTTGGAAGAAAAGCGGGAGAAGCCGATTCTTTACTAGGTTGTGAATTTGTCGGGTTCAATGCGGCTGATAAAAGAGTAATGGGAGTATGTACTCTAAGGTATGGAAAACACAAATTTATTACTTGTTACATGTTATATATAAAACAGGTATCTCCGATAATTCAATCCTTCAGGATTAAGCTGATCGATATAATTTCCAATTCTCCCCTGTTTCCTTTTAAGTTTTAGCAATTTTGCTAGTAAGAACAAAGAATCTATTTAAATATCATACAGTTATGTGAGGCACTTTCTATAAATGCGTATGTGCGTGCAACGCACATACATTTTTTATCTATGTGTATGGTTAAAAAAAATTTTAGGGACTTTTACAGACAAAACAAGTCAATGCGTTACGTATGACTGAAAGCTACGCCAACTAATATTTTGTTGTTACTTTTCTATAAGCGTAAAATGTTATCGCATTGTTTCTTGTCACGCGTAACGCATTGATTGTTCTGCCTACCCAGATGCCAAAGTTTACTGTTAAAAAAATAGAAAAATAATATGTGTATTTTAAAAACTATTACACCCATTTTTAGAGGAATCACAAATCTTATTGTGGCTGATCCACATCTTTGTTGGATTATTCCTGACAAATGGACGTTTGAGGATGCCGCAACTGTCCCAGTTGCTTATTGTACCAGTTGTTATGCTCTGTACACATGTGGAAAATTAAAGAAAAAAGATAAAATTCTTATCCACTGCGGCGCTGGTGCCGTTGGACAATCTGCAATTTATCTCGCGCTTTTTGAAAGATGTGAGATATTTACAACTGTAGGAACACCCGAGAAACGAAATTTTATAAGAGAAAAGTTTCCTTCTATTCCCGAAGATCATATAGGAAATTCTCGAGACACCAGCTTTGAACAAATGATTAGTCAACAAACAAGAGGTCGTGGTGTGAACATCGTGTTAAATTCTTTAGCAGAAGACAAATTGCAAGCATCTATTCGATGTTTGGCAAGAGGTGGTCGATTTTTAGAAATTGGAAAGTATGATTTAATATCTAACAATACCATAAATTTAAAAGAATTTTCAAAAGGCATTAGTTTTTATGGAGTTATGTTAGATAGAATATTTAGTAGTACTGATATAAAAAGAAAAATACATATTTATAACTTGTTAAACAATATGATTCAGCGTGGAGCGGTCGTACCACTTGTAAGAAAAGTTTTTGAACAACATGAGATAGAAACCGCTTTTAAACATATGGCAGCTGCAAAACATATAGGAAAGGTAAGTTAGAGTAAACCTGAAATTACAATTTTTATAGAAAATGTAATACCGTGTACAGCAACTAAAGGCGGTCACGTTATTTGTGATCGAGATTGTACATTTCATATATATAGTTCTTAAAAAAAATAATCATGTAGAATTAACATATAAACATTCTAGTACACTTATAACTACTTACACAGTGTGGTTTTTTCCGACAAATTTCAAATAAAAAAGTTTATGTAAAAAAATCTTAGCAAAATGTTACTTAATTCTTAAGATTGCAGTAGTATTGAATATATTTTGCGGCTTTGACAGATTATGCAGTTCCTGCTGATAATCTGCTATCGACAGTTCGATAATGATATAAATGCTATTTGTTGACAATAAATTTAAACCTGATTATTTTACAAACGGCTTTCGATGTTTTGCAATATTCTAGTAATAATTTTGCGATATTTTTGTAATCAACAATATCGTATAATCAACTCTTTACAAATTGTTATCAATTTATTTATAGTTATGGATTTTAAGCAAAGGACAAATTTAAATCAATTACCGAATAAAAATGTAAAAATATAAAAGCAACAAATAGTTTTGGGTTATTTGTCGGAAATATATTTTATTAAAACAAATATTTTATATTATTTTTTTTCTCTCAATATAAAGAACAGGTAACAGAAATATAATTTTAATAAAATCTTTTAAATTTTATTTTTGCTTTTAGGTAATCATAAAAATACGTACAGAGAAAGAAGTTGCGGACGCTCCTATTCTCGCGTATCCTCAATATTTATGTAATGAGCATAAATCTTATATTATTTTGGGTGGTTTAGGCGGTTTCGGCCTAGAGTTAACCAACTGGTTGATTGTTCGTGGAGCTCAAAAAATTATACTCATTTCACGAAATGGTATAAAGAACGGTTATCAACAGTCAAGAATAGAGTTATGGAAATCGTATGGAGTAAATGTGCAAATAATGACAGGCGTTGACGCATCTACTCACAACGGTTGTGCTTCTATTTTACGTTCTGCCAACGAATTAGGACCAGTGGATGCTATATTTAATCTCGCAGTTGTGCTAAAAGATGATATTTTCACGAATCAAACTCCGGAAACATTTGAAGAAACATTTCAGTCGAAAGTTCTAGCTACAAGGCAATTGGACGATTTGTCTAGAAAAATGTGTCCTCATCTTCGACATTTTGTGGTATTTTCATCTGTTTCATGTGGTAAAGGAAATCCTGGACAAACTAACTACGGTATGGCCAATTCGATAATGGAAAGAATCTGCGAAAAAAGAGTGCAAGATGGATTACCTGGCATGGCTATTCAGTGGGGTGCGATAGGCGACGTCGGTCTAGTCGCTGACATGCAACAAAACAATAAAGAACTAGTTATCAGTGGAACATTGCAACAACGAATATCATCTTGTTTAGAATCACTGAACAATTTCTTAATGCAGAATCGACCGATTGTAAGCAGTATGATTGTAGCTACAAGATCAAAAGTTTCTGGAGACATTGTGCATGTTGTGATGGACATAATGGGTAAATTTATTTATAAATTACTATATCATAAACTCATTCTTTTTGTCTTTCTTTTTATCAACAATAACCGTTTTGATTTTTTTTATTCCATTATCGAATGGTACTTTTACATGTTTTTGTATAAATTTCATACTTAACGCTCTCTCTTTGTCTCACACACACACATAGGATTGAAAACTTTAAAAGGAGTTGGAGAACAAGTACTCTTGTCTGAACTTGGCATGGATTCTATGATGGGTTTAGAAATTAAGCAAACAATAGAAAGAGAATTCAATATTTTCTTCACAACCCAAGAAATTCGAAATCTCACCTTCGCTAAAATCAAAAAAATAACTGAAAAAGATAAATACGACCAAAAGAATGTTGAGAAACAACTTGACACAAATAATTCGCAACATGTAAAAGTCTTTAATATTTTCCGGTTAATATCTGACTTAGATATAATTTCAAACATTTCTGTAGAACTCTCTACACAACGAGAAGTAGATAGAAACCAAGTATTTCTTTTGCCAGGAATTGAAGGATTTGCTAACATATACAACTCAATAGCTCCAAAAATTAAAGCTCCTGCAATATGCCTACAACATAGTTCTATTAATATTCCTGAATCTGCTCACTCTGTAATACAATCAGCCACTGATCTTTTATCTGTATGTAGTCAAAATAGAAATTTTTACATCTAGAAAAAAAATTATATAAGTTGTNTACAAGCAATAATAATTGCAAAAATCTTGTATTTTTTTAGCATATTTTATCAAAACTAACAGATTCTACAGAATTCGTAATTGGCGCATATTCATATGGATCTCTTATTGCTATTGAAATGGTAAAACAATTAGAAGCTAAAAACTTTCGAGGACGATTAGTATTAATCGACGGAGCTCCCAAGTACTTAAAAGACATACAGGAAACATTTTTCCCTTTTACTAATAGTCAAGAATTTCAAATTTGTGTGTTAAAACATATAATAGATAGTTTTAATATACCTGCATCAGAATTGGTATGTAATAACATAATACATAAAATATATGTTTTATATTGTGTATATAACGCTATATTAAAATTAGAGCACACAAACAGAGACATAAGCTACATTTAACAGTTGCTACTATATTTGTTCAGTATATATGCGTGTTTCAGATTATACCAGAATTAAATAAATATGCTACTTGGGAAGACAAACTAAATAGTTTTACAAAATACATTACTAGTGAAATGATAACTTCTTTCAAACTTTCCATCGACTCCATTAAACTATTTTGTACAACAATTTACAAACATTTAATTGCTGTTCAAGAATATGATACGTCTTCATTGGTATCAATTCAGTCACCTATAATACTATTAAAAGCAACAAACTTATTACTTTCTGCGGTAGAAGAAGATTATGGTTTAAATAAGGTAATTTATTAGCAAATATTCAATTTTTCCTACCAGTATACTTTTATATAACTGATGTGTTTTGGTCGCAGATAAGCAAAAATGTACAAATTCACTACGTAGACAGCAATCATGTATCAATAATTAATAGTGATCAGGTCGCAGCTGCTATTAATGGAGAAATAAGACAAGAGTAATAAACAGTTTGTTGTCGAAATAACAATAGAATGTAAAAGAAACAAGTAATTTGCTGTCAATTTATCAAACACAAACAATTATCTGGAAAAGATATGCAAAATTTCTCGAAGAGTGCGCAATTTAAAAAAAAAAAAATATTTACATAACAAATGTTTTAGTTTACATGAATCTTCTGATGACTATTTAATAGAAACTATGACTCTACTAATCTCAACATTATCGGAACAGTATCAAAATTGATTTAATTTAATTTCACGGACTCAAAGCATATAAAAAATAGGTAAATCTTTTGAAAACAGACAATTGTTTTCGGGAAAGTTTGTGTGTGTGTGTGGTTTAAATAAATTACTTATTTTTTTTTTTTTGCTGTGGTTTTTTGGGCACACGTTATACGGATCGTAACTGAAATATTTTTTGTAAATCGAAATAAAATGAATTTTGAAGAGAAATTCATATGATGTTGATTTTCTAGAAGCCCGTCCCAATATACATAACTATTTACAAAAGAATTCCAAAGAAATTGCAAAGAATCAAATTTTAAAAATTAAATTAGTAATTTTAAAAATTACTCTGATAGCAACCTGTCTGTGTTTTTGTTGTCATGTTGCCGAAAACGCTTGAGTTTTCAGCAAACTTAGAACAAGGTGAGTCAGACATTTATCTTTGACATGACACGTATCATACATGTGTTGCCGACAACTTGCTGTGTATCTGCTGTCAACGATTTATCAGTAGCATAAAGAGCATAACATAACAAGTTACCGACAACATATGCTGAGTCACACATTTAAGCAAAAATACAATATGTCGAAAAAAACGAACATATATATATATATATTCAATGGCACATCGCGTTGTGATAGAGGAATTAATTCGAGATTTCACTCGAATTAATCTTTGAAGATCTGATTTAGTTCGCCGATCAAACTGATTAACTCGATGAAAGATACCGGAAAAAATCCTAATGGTGATAGGTGGGATTTGTACTCGAGATCTTCGTATTCGCAGCCCTTGCACTCAGTCCGCGAGACCACTTGTTTCTTACTAAAATGTAATTGTTTTTATCTACTTATTCTGAAAAAACGGTCATTTGTTTTCGAAATTTAATGGGCTACAAGATAGAAGTAATATATTTCAAGAGTTTTTAACAACCATACGACAGAAGTACAGACATCGGTGTCTTGTTACCGTCATGTTGCTCTTTTGTTGCCGAAAACAAATGACAAGAGCAAAAAGTTTTTTATGAATAGAAGTCATTTTGTTGACAACGTAAGGAGCAACAATTGCTTTCCGTTTACTCTAAATCTGTTAACACAAAATGACTCAAATTTGCCTTTGTGTTGTTGATTACGTATGACTATGCATTACGTTTTCAGCATATACACAGTAACTAGTCGAAAACCTTTGCTCAGGCATTAAGTTACATGATTTTGCAAAAATGCTTGACTATCAAGGTAAGGCCTCTGATAAAGTTAGTGTACTGATTATTAATGACTAAATTAACATATCTATACTAATGAATATGTTAACATATCTAATGCCGCAGCGCTCATGGAACTTAACCCATTTGCATCATAAACGCATATATGTCCGCATTTTGCCTGGCCACTATCACCAGAGCGCATATATACGCGCATTTTACTTAGGCATTTATCACCAAAGCGCATATTATTGTCCAGCGGTGGGGCCCCTCACGCACTTTTTTTTTCGATAATTAGATTCCATTCCGTTTAAAACATTTTGGTGATAAGAACGAATTTTTGACTTTTCTTTGTGATGCAAATGGGTTAATAATAACTAATAAATTACTAGTAAGAACTAGTAATAACTAGTAATTACTAGTAATTACTATATGTTACACAGTAATAAATATAACATTTACTAGTAATAACTAGTAACAAATATAACATTTTCTTTCTTCTAGATTACTAGTATAGCATAATTGTTTTTATATATATTCTTATTCTTTCTTCTCTTATATATTTCTAACTCTCAACCAACTTGTGTCGAACAAAGTTTATACAACAAAATAAAAGTTTTATTTACAAAGATATGTTGTGCACATCAAATCAAGACTTTGCTTTCAAAGATTTGCTCAAGATTTCACTCTGCTTTGTATCGGAGTGAATAGAGTGTACACAACAGGTGCTTTCCAGGTAGTGACACAAACCAAAACAAAAATTATTCTATTTTTGTTTTTCAATGAATATTGAGGGAACAGAACGATTGATTCTTGTGTTGACTTGTGTCGCTAACTGAAAAGCATCCACAAGCAAAGAAACACAGCGCAAAAATATACAGAAACAAATCAAGAAAAGTTTATCGTCATGAAAAATACAATGCGGTATATGATATCGAACAAAATCTTTTATTACAAGTACTGATATCTTTACGACGTTTCTCTTTCGGACTTTACGATGTCTTTCGTGCTTAATTTCTAATCTAATTCTCGATTTATGACATAAGAATTTGATTCTTTCAGACCGATTATTCGAAAAACCGGTTATCGAAATGAATGTGTTATATAAAGATTTTTCTCGGGTGTTAACCGCGTTAGTGTCATTTTTATACCGACGGTTCGTAAACATTTCAGCTCACTTCATCAGGTTTTTATGATACTAGTCAGGGACTCGGACCGAAATGAAATTTCGGTCCGTTTACGGTTACGGTCCGATGCTGTACCTGATTTTCGGTTTCGGTTTCGGTTCCGGTCCTTTTATCAATAACGGTGACCGTAACCGTTTGGATATCGATTTTTTTCGGTTACAAGTGTTTAAGTATC